TCGTTCATAGATGGTCATCACGGCCATGTCTATACCTACCTATGCTCGACACGAATGCAAAGCAACGATAGGAGTTGTACAACCCAACAATACTAAATATGTCATCAATCTACCTACCACGACATAACCTCCCTGTGAATTTCTTAGCTCCCGTCAGATATGAAGGTCACTCACTCTTTAGTGTTCCCGGTTTCGACGCGTGACTCTTCCCCGGCTGAAAAGAAAATCTCACGATACCTACCTACCTACCTACCACTAGCTATCTCAGTCCGTGCACCTGTCATCTTGTTAGCGTGCGCGTGGACATCGAATAAGCTTCCCCATCACCCGCGCGCAAAGGTACAAATGCCACGCAGCCAGGCCGTCCACTGGCCACGAACCTATGTAAAAATAGACCGGGCAGTGAACACCCAGATTTATTTCTCTGCGCAATAAGCGGCGCTGTTGAAACAGTAGGAGCAAGGTGGTATCACCCGTAACAATGTCCCACGACGACTTGATCCGCTCTAAGCCGCTCACAACGCGCCGGCTCTACATGAATATGTATAGACAGGCAGGTAATGGAGGTAGGTAGGTGGAGAGATTCCAGTCCCACTCTGGGGAAAAGGGGAGGGTTGCAAGAAAGGCCGTGGGTGATACCTTAGGTATGTACTGCTAATGGGGAAGAGAGACACGAGGGTAGATGGATGACCCTAGAAGACGCCGTGGCACGGGTTCACCGCAGCAGCCGTTTATGTTTTGCGTTAGGTGGGAAGGAAGCATAGTTAGTAGCTACAAGTGACTAACTACCTCACTAATTATGTAGTTTCTTCTTCTCTCGGCGTAGTGATACATGGTATACAGAGATACAGACACAGGCAGAGAGACAGAGAGAGACAGAGAGACAGACAGACAGCCTTAAACACATACTATGTCACACGGCCCGGTCGAACCAAGTGGGTAACCCGCTCAGGAACTCGGTATAGCTAGCCAGCTAGCTGGCTAAGCTATGAAGGGGAGAACGTCAAGAGATGATGGGATAGGCATGCGACGAGGCAGAAAGTTGACTACATCTAATAGACGCACCAGCCTGTTCTTACACACTGTATGTACGGCAGAAATTAAATGTCCCACTTGGACTTAACTTCGTTGCGGTATATACGTAGGTAGGTATTCACTCATCGAGGTTGACTTTGTGCGTAACTAGCTGCAATATACATACATACATGCATACATACTACTTGTATTATATAGCAGTGCCAGCAACGGAGTACGTACAAAGCATACTGAGGAGAAATGGGGCTCTTGTTCTGACTTCCCCATGGCTCGTCGTGCTACGCACCTCTTCCCAGCACGCCTCCACCGAAACCCACCGTGTAGACGAACAAAGACGGGGTCGGGAGCGGCAGCAAGACGGATTTGAGGCATTTTCTCTTCCTCTCTCTCTCTCTCTCTCTCTCTCTCTCTCTCTTTCTATCCATCTGACTTGAAGTCTCCATCATCCGAACCAGATTCTAGCCTTCTAGCCCCTCTTTTCAAATCATTTCTTTCGAGAGTGGTGGGCTTCAGATGGGGGGACCAAAGACTTGGGATAGCCCTGCGTATGTACCCTGTGAATGTATTAGGGGCGGGCAGCCTAACATCTGTCTAGGTCTAGTGTATATGTATGTAGTTAGGAGCAGGTTATAGTACCTAGCACCATACATTAGACAAGGCGTTTACGGATTACATACCTACTATGTAAATATTTACTGTGCCCCTTAAAACCAAGCACCGTGTCTACCCTGGCTACTACCTAACCTAGCGCACGAAAAAGAATCCAGCCAAAACGGCGGCAAGACGTCCCTAGTCGTGAGACAGATACAGACGGCGGATATTTCTACGTACAAAATATTTCCCGGCCACCCTAGCGTGTAACCGAACCGCCCATATGTAGGTATGTACAGTACGATATAGGTATCCCAACTCGCCGTCTCTCTCAACGACGAAACTCCCTGCCATTGGCCCGGAGCGTGCTGCGTGATGCGTGCCCAGGTGGAGTTCTGTGCGCCGCTGCAAATGAGGGCCGCGAGGAGCACCTCGTGGAGTATTAGGGCGTAGGGGATTTCCCTGTACGCCCACCACTAGACGGCCACCACTAGACGGCGGATCCGCCATCCAGAGTAGACCGTATGTAGGTACCTAACCTACGTGCCTACTACAATGGAGAAGGGCCCGTGACGGAAAGATACAGCACTTAACTTGATGTATGTATGTATGTATGTATGTATGTATGTACAAGTGAGCGACTGGCTGTTGTACATACCTTAGGCACCTAATACAGTACCTACCTACACGTTATGCTTAGACCTAACTAAACGAACGAAAGTAAGAAACTAAGTTCGAAGAAACTATCACCATCAAGTGCCGTATCTTAGTCTAATTCGATTCCTCCAATCCAAGCGCCTAACCTGCCCATAGCCAGGCACGCGACGACCCTCGACTAGCCGCCAGACTAACACCGCAAACATGCAGGTCTAACTCAATAAGCCAGCCAGTCAGTCAGTTACTCAGTCCTAGTCCTCCATGCTAACAACCCTCGTCTGCTCCCTAAACCAAAGCCAGCACTAGCAGCCCTGTGACAAGAGCTTGTCTTAGGATATCCGTTCTGGGGATGCCGAGGAGAAAGGGGGGGGGGGGGGCTAGGTACCCAGTTCCTAATTTTGCATCCGACTTCTAAATACCTATTTCTTTGTAGGCCTAGTCATCGCTAGCCGATTTCAGCCATTTGGCAATTTAACTCCCGGGGGCACTTCGCGGGATAGATACTTGTAGGTTTTGTGATGATATTTGTTTCGCTCTATTACACGCGATTAGCGCCGTAGCTGGCTGACTTGCTGGCTGACTGCTTGGAACGCGGTAATTACTCAATCTACGGGCTCGTAATAATCAAAATAAATCATCGGAATTGCTTGTTAGTTTAGTACGTGTTATACCTAAGCAAGAATAGCCGTGAAGGGCATTATGTCCTTGTGAAATTTAAAATATAACTACTTATTAAATTACTAGGTTAGCAGACTTACACTATTGTTATCACTAACTACACCAAGCAGCAATAGAGAGAATTATCGTGTAGACTCTAGGTTACTGACTTTACGTCCTTTCATACGTCGTTATTATCAACCGTCCACGATCGTATACACACCATACAACTCCTCCACCGCCCCCATAAAATCAACCACATAAAACTCAACAATACAATTATCTTCCAACTACCTCTTACAAGTACACGCATACACATACTACCCTAAACGCCGCCCCATAGTGCCGACAGCCCCAGCGAGGATACCCCTACCGCATCATTTACGAAAAGCCCCCCCCTCCCCCCCAAAATTAAGCTACGTACCTTACCTACCGCTATCCGATCTGCACCCCCGACCCGTTACGTTAACCCAGGGTAGGATCCAGGGTAGGGTTCCATAAGTAGTCGGATTAGCGGTACTATCTCAATCAAATGCGGGTCAACCCTAACCTGACATGATATGACATGACTTAACCAGGTAAAAACTAAGAGTGGAACAGGCCAGGGCATGAAGGACGATCCGGTCTGGTCTAAGACCCGAGCACCCCCTCACCAACGCTTGTCGATCTCGTCCCGGCAGTCTGGGTAAGGGAGGAGCCGCTTATCCTAGTTTAGATAGACTGCCCTCGAACTGACCAATGATGGGAGACGACAGTAGAATATGCAGAAATGAAAGAAAGGCGCATCAAAATAGAAACTTGAGTGGCTTGGATTTGTTGGAGTACTATCGAGTACTAAATCTGGGTAGCACAACGATACAGAATAGGCACACGCAACTTGAGCACTTCGTACCTCCCGGCTCATCAATCTCATCATCCCCCCCTTCTCCATACCATATGACTGACTAGCCTAGGCCAGATCGGTGTGTGTGGCTCAGCGCTTAACGCACCATACACAACGCAACGCAATGCAGCAGGAATTCCTCATCTGCCTTCTGAAAAACACTCCCCCCCAGACTGTCCCCTATGCCCCTGGTGTGATGAAACATTGAGACCTGATCACAACTGGTCGTAAAGAATCTCGAGGCGTGAAAAATAATTGACGTGTGGTATTCGCGTTCCAGTCACCCGGCCCCCTAACACCGCGCACTCTCTAGCTATTTCGTAAAAACTTATTTTTAACTGACACTGCTTCCTCCCATCCTAATGTCTCATGCCCTCGTGCGGAAACATGAATCGTCAAGTTAAAAGCGCGTCCTTCTGGTGTACAAAATGAAAAATGAAATGCAACGAGGTATGCAACGGAAATATTGAAAACAAAAAGCATCGCGGATGATATAAACCATATGCCAACGATCCTGTGGCAAGAGGCGTCTAGAGAAAAGAAAATCAGAGAGAAAAAGGGTAACTGGCGACCCTTGAAAAACTCCTTCTGGCTGGTGGGTAACTCATGCGCAATGCCATTCGCCATGGTATTATCCCATACTATAAACTCTCCACATTCATACCTAGTTCCGAGTAATATTTTTCATTTTCTTTGGTACCCAAACCGTACCTGTTGCCTTTTGGGTGCTTAGGATCGGTCCGTATCATGTAGTCGCAAAATGATTGCTAGGCATAGAACTCGGAGATCCCTGGAGGCGCAACTAGGGACATTTCGGATTATAGTTCGCATTCGCTTCTGCGACAATGGCATATCGATTTAAGCTTGCCGGTAGTATTCGTAGTGATGTGTCATACGCCAGAAGAAGTTGTAGAAGTAACTACTTCCTTCTTTCCGCATGTGGTAAATGACATAGGGTGACCTCGAATAAGGTAACAAGGCTATGGCGTTGTGCCCAAGAATATTGCTCTTCCGCGCCAAAATAAAGGTTGGACCATATTTCCAATCCTTATCCTAGTTTAACTTCATTTTCCCTCCTTTACTTTCCCCCTGATATCAGCTGTCGGCGGCCCCAATAGAAATGATACAAACACTAATTCCACAACTAGGACCGGTCTTTAGTTGGAAATCAGCGTTCCTATGGCTGGAATTGACCACCTGGTACTGGCTGGCCCCAATAAGAGTATGAAAGCCTATTGTTGCGGTGGTCGTCAGGGTCTTCAAATATGGGGTTGAAATCAGGATGCATCGTTGACAGTCCTTGGCCCCCGTGTACGTTAATAGGTGCTTGGTGGCCTTGGTATAGCCCTGTCACATTCTCAAGAGCGTACATGTTATTGTGGCTGGCCTGGCTGTACTGAGGAGCGTTAGACCCGAAGGAGAATTCATGATTTGCATTATTCGTCGGCAATACCATCGATTGCATTGTATTCGACGCTAGTATCATGCTCTCGTGACTGGGATCGGGGGGCGTTGTCGGCTCGTCTCTTGTATGGGCAGGAAGAGAATACTGCATCCCCTCGTAGACGACATTTTGCATTGGTCCCTGAAGGTTGCTGCTGCTTGGTGTGAATATAGGGCCTGGGTTTTGTCGGCCTAGAATCGCCCTTTTGCTTGCTGCCGCCTTCTTCCCGCCCTTGCGGCCAGACATGGCACGCGCTGAAGCATGGGCGTTCGTCCGCGAGGCGTTTCTGGATTTGGCGCGACGATTAGAAGTACCCTTGCTGCGGTAGCGCGTTGTACTTTGTACGCCATTCACGGCCCATTCCTCTAGAACCCATTGTGATATCTTTTTTGCCTCTCCCGACCCATTTAGAGGATCATCGGAACTCGCTTTTCGTTCGCGTCTGACAAAAGCCTTTTTTGTTGAAAAGGATTAGTTAGTCACAAATCCAGCCAGTAATTAAAAATCTCATAGAGTTTGTCAACAAAAGCAAGAGTATACTTAAATAGGTACGTGCCGTCATATTATCCTGCGTGGAAATCGAGGCGGAACTTACATGATTCATGCTGAGATTATGCCGGATACTATTTTGCCACCCATTGCGTTTATTCCCCTTGTCCGTCTTTTCCTTGTCCGTGTTCTCACGGAACCACTGGTAGATCTCCTGTAGCGTCATGGCGCGTGTGCGTCGGCTCATGAAAGCCTGATGGATTAGTTGCGCATAAGGACCATCAGCCTTCTCTGACTCTTGCTCGTTCTCTTCGAGTCCCTGGCCGACATGTTGTGAAGTTTCATCTTGACTATAGGAGCTGTATGATGTGTCTAGCCCTTGTTCTGCCTGAGATGATTCGCTTTGGACTTCAACAGCCGGGTTAGGATCTGGGTGGCTGCTGGCAATGGATGACATCTCGGGTTGTGTCATAGTACTTGTAGCTAGGTCGACTGAAGCAAAGCTTTGATTCTCATACGCAGATGTAGCCATCTGGGGGTGGAGCTGTTGCTCATGCTGCAACTGGTGGCAGGCCCTGAAGTTATAAGCGGACATATGATCTGATCCCTTGAAAAATGTCTGGTGGATGTTAATGTGCTGGGATTCTTGGGGCGACCAGCTCCTTGGACTAGCAACTGAAGAGTGTCCCGAACAAGACGCAAGGGGCTGAGTACCGCGAGCACCACTCGTAGGTGAACCTTGATAGGAATAATTATCGAACTCTTCTTCACAAGTAGTAGAAGGTGGTGTTGGCCATACACCCTGTGGCGAGGAACTAGCTGAGTGAACCTGAGAGTGGTGGTACGCCGGAATTGACGTATTGATTGTCATGGGGAATAAAGCTGAAGATGGGGGCTGCGGTTGGGCGTGGTGGCCTACTTCCGCAACCTGTGGAGCCGGAGAGGGAATATAGTAGGAGTCTGCACTGGGAAGATCCGCCGAGTTACCGGTTGATTGTGTTGCGCAGTTTCGTCTTTGATTAGTTTCTGGATTGCAGGACGGTAAGCAGTTGACGGGCAAGCCGTCTGGGAATCTTTGTTGCATTCCGGCGAGTCCAAGACGCTGTCGACTAAGAAAGTCAGACTTTGCTCACGGCGCCGCGATCAGCAACGAAGCGAGAAACAAACCCAAGTAGACGTTTTAGGAGAGGCGAATACGGGTTGAACGTAAATATGCTTTCCAAATGGATTACAAACTTGAGTATAGATGATTTGAGAAGAATAATGAGTAGGAGGTAAGAGGAGGAAACTCGATGTATGTAAGGAGATGGAAGAGGCACGTAAGTAGATATGTGTCTAAGTGCGTACCTTGGGAGATATGTAAGCATGCGTATAAGTAAAGTGTAAGGTTGTTGTTGAATTTTCTTGCTATGCAGACAAGTTGAAGGAATGATGTATGGATGTTGTATGGAGTATGGAACTTAATGCTGTGCAAGATGAATGGGCACTTGGAAGTCAATCTAGGTACATACCAACCTAGGTATGTACGTACTAGATGTAGGGAAATAGAGGCAGGTACAGTACGTAGAGGTACGTAGATGGGTACGGCACTAGGAAGGAGGGTGGTCTGGGGTGGGAAATCGTACCTGCTCTCATCAACATGAGATTAAGAATTATGTACTTAATGGCGGACCCATACGAATCCTGGTAGCTACAGATAATCCAGTAGATCCCAGGCGGTGGCACCTGGCTGGCTGGTTACCTAGGACATGTACTCTGGTACCTACATGTATGCAACCTAGGTAGTTGGTACTTGCATCCGTAGACCGTAGACGAGATGTATAGGCGAAGTAGAGATGATTTGGAAAGCCCTAGTCGTCCCCTCTAATCTAGTAAAAAGGGGTACGTACCTGCTACTAGCTTCAATGTAGGTTGTTGACAAGGAAGGAGAGCTCACAAGACGACCCTAGTCCAAAGTTGAGCTGGCCAATGCAAAAAGGATCAGTGACGTGGGTGGGTCCCTAACGGTGTAAACTGCTCTGCCTTCCTGTCAAATGAGCTTATGAGCCTAGGAGCCTTAAATAAATTTCTGAATAAAAGCCTTCGAAGCTAGAGCCACTTGGGTAGTTGGGCGAAAGATGAAATAGACCGAAATGGGACGCCGGTCAAGGCAACTTTGCGCTCCCACAACACTGTATTATTGTGTCTATTGTAGCCAGTAGCCAGACGACGATGACAAGGCTATTGAAGATGTTCTGAACTGATTTGTAACCTGCCAACGCACTGGATGATGCCCTCTTCGCCGGTAAACTCTTCTCCGGATTTCTAGAATTTCCTGATTGATGTTTATTATTATGATTATTATTATTATTATTCCCCCCCCCCCCTTCTTCTCGCCTACATCAGTTACAGCTCAGCTTGGTCGGAGACTTAAAGGAGCTTTGTGGTATGTAAGTGCTGTCTGTATGTATCCCGAATATTTCCATATATCGTACAATCGTGTATTCGTATATTATATATGCGTATCTAGTATGCGTCAGCACATATGTGTGCGTACATGTATGCATGTGTGCTTCCTATACATATAACTACCTACATACATTACATACATTTGCATGCATACAGCGTGTTTATCCTTGTGCAAACGGAGTTGTGTTTCGTGTGTCTAATGTAGAGGTCGTCCAGGGCGTGGCTATCGGGGATTTGTTGCGCATCAGGGGTATTGGCCAGTTAAACAACTAGTTGAACAAGCTATGACACATCTATAACAAATATCATCTTGAAGCATTTACTATTCGCAACAACTAACTTAACGGAACAGAGACGGGGTCGGCAATGTAATATTAACTTGGAAAGTAGGAAAAGAGAAAAGAAAAATACCTAACCTTCTAATTAATCGACTTCTAAAATAATGGTATTGTGTAGGTGGCAACGCAAGCCGTCATGAAGACACTGTGCGCAGAATAGCAGCGGAATTAGGGCTCTCTTCCCGCGTCCGGATACTTGCATCGTGAGTAAATATTAGTAGATTCGCCAAATAGAACCAATCATTATTTGAATCTCGCTGTCTCCGGCGGGATCTCCTTTTGCAGCCTTACTAAAAAGATTCTGAAACTGTCTTGAAGAGCCCCCCCTAGCCATCTCTGCCGCATGCAAGTCATCGCAACGACCCCTTCTAGAATTTCGATCGAAGCTTTAAATTTGCAAGGGTTCCTAGATCGTTCGCTCACAAGAACATACAAGAGTGTCTCGGGCTGTAGAGACCATGGCTAAGTCGGCAAGGAAGCCTTTAAATTAAATTAATTCCTCACTTTCACTTATAATTCACCACGCGTTCACTCTAAATTTAGCAGACAGTGGAACCCTCACGGGGATAACTATTAACTTCACAGCAGGCCAAAGCTCCGTCTCTTTACCCGTAATATGTCTCTAATAACCCCCCTAAATAGAATTCCTTCATCCAGCCGCAGTCCCTTATAACGCAACCAGGTTAGGGAGTTAAGGTAGCTCTCCGTGCGTTGTGCTACAGAGGCTAAGGTGATTTGCACTTCTCCGATGCATTTCCACGACGTAATGAATATCTGCAGATTACTTTCTGGTGCCATTCCCATATAATACCCAAATATCGTCCCATGATATTAGGTTAGGTGATTGGTACAAACCCATACTGTATAGCGGCTTAAAGTAGCAGAATCGCTTGCGTTTGCCATTGAGAATCTGTTGACGAATGGTGGCTGGATTTTTCACTTCCGATAGTAGATCTATGTGACGTATCAGTATTTATCACGATCTGGTTTAGGATAAAGGTACGTACCTTCTTAAATTGGAAATGAAGTTGAAGAATTCCCTAGACACAATATATTAGATACGGCTTATCCTGGGGGGAAGTTCGAGAACAGCAGGGGTGGAAATGTGCATGAGCCGAGGAGAAATAATTCAAACTCGCATGCCATGCGAGAATGCTCGGCGTGGCTTGACATGGGCAAATTACAGGCTGTCAAATAGAATCCTGAAGCAAAACAAGCGTTTGCCACCCCTAAAATGTCCGGCTATCACAGTTCGATGATTTCTAGACACGTGATAGAGGCATAGCACTACAAGCCTACCTACTACGTAGGCAAATTAAAAGGAAGTGTGACATAACGTACCTTATCGAAGCTGCTCTTGAAGCCGCGGTCCCTTTTTGCGCTATAGTCCCATTCCCGGTCGACAATGCGAAAGGCAATATCTTCATATGGTGGCCCAGCGATGAAACGAATCAAGCAGGTATCTTCTTCCCCTGCCGGCGCAAAAGATTCGCCTCTCCTCCTTCCGTGCTCACGAATGATCTTGAACGTGGGTGCTTTCGTCTTGTCGATGAGATCGGGATAGAATATGTTGAATTTATAACCTTGCACCACTTTTGGAGGCGGGTTATCGTGGTCATAATGTGTCTGGTTGTACTTGTTCCACTCGTATCCCATCTGCACTCGATTGAAATAACGCGGTTTACGAGGCCGGTATTTATCTGCCCATTGTGGTTTCGTACCACTCGGAACTGTCTCTTCGGCTGTGAATATCTCCTCATTTTCGCTAATCCCTCGAGCAACTTCTCGCTCGTACAGAGCCTTGGTAGCTTGAGAGAAGTCTTCGTTTTCGCTCGTCGTGAATCTAGCAGTACCAGGAGGTGGTGCGCTGGTCGGGTTACTGGCCGCCGAGACAAAAGCCGTGTTAGGTTTTGACTTCGAAGTAGAAGTCGTCGCTATCTCCTTTGATCCAGCATGAGCGGTACTCCCGGATGATTGGGATTCGGCAAGCTCTTTTACTTTTTCAGGATCCTGATCCCCCAATAATTTTATTCTGCTTTCTCTGATTTCCTCGCAGATGTTCTTAAGCTTGGCTTTTGCTTTGAAAATTTGCAAGCTCTTGAGTAGTTGCTCCCAGTAGTCGGTGTCCATAACCTCATCCGAACGCAGCTTAGCCTGTATCTGACCTTCCAGCTTCTCCAGCTGCTCGAGATTCTTGGGTCCAAGTATTTTATCCACGTCAGCGCTGACAGAATTGACAACGCGCTCCTCACGACCCATGGGTTTAAGCTTTTGTCTCCTGTCAGCACAAAGCGTCTGCAGTGCCTTCCAGTACTCTCGATTCCTGTTATTCGTTTCGAGAGTTAGGTACGGCGTAATGTCAGCATCGAGTTCGCCAAGCGCAGACTCCTTCAGTCCTTCTATAACGGTGCCAGGCGGAGGCACATCAATATCAGCGTCGGCATCATCGTCGTCGAAGACGTCGCGGTCTGTATCGATATATCGTAGATTGAATGCGAGGAGATCGATGGGTTTTGCTCGTCCTTCTCTAACACGGATATCTGCCTTTTTCTTGGCCTGTTTTAGAACGAACTTGTCCTCGTCTGCGACAAATTGTTGAGACTGTTCATCTTGACTAAGCCAATTTTGGGTGGTAGAATTCGTCTGCTTGTTCTGGGTCGGTCGCGATGACTTGGTGATTCTATTATTGAGATCTCGTCTGGGAGATGTGATATCGCGGCGAGGGGGTGACTTACGGCCATGGATCATAGCACGTCGTCCGGGATCCATCTTTCCAACTTTATCAATCTAGTATTTTGGACTGCACAAGAGTTTGTGTGGAATAGAATATGAATGAATGATGGGTATTTGTTGTACCTTTTTTTTTTTTTACTTCAATGTTGTAAGACTGCACGTCCGCATCAGCATCGCACTTTAGCCGTTTGGCGATGAATCCACAAGTCTCCACCAGGCCGTCTTTATCAGCTTATCAGCTGTTGAGCTTTAAATTTGCTTACGTAAGATACCGCTGCATCGCCTTACGTAAGTGGTTACCTTATGTAAGCTTCTTAATGTTAGTGCAACTTTTACGAATCAATGTCAACTCTCTGATAGTTAGCTGTGAAATAACATCATTTTATAGCTTCACTAATATCATAATCCCACATACATTTACAAGGTATACAGCAACTCTCAATTTGAATTCATGCTCACAATATCATGTCGTTATGAATTCATTTATGTCTAATGGGCATGCCAGGACTATCTACCTAAAGGTCTATATAATATCCCTTGACACTTCATCATCCAATGCGCATATATGGCGCGTGGGACGACTAGAGTACTGAAGCAGAGATATTTCACCGCCTGATTAAAATGCAAAGCATATGTAAACATTCGTAAAGGTGTAACATACTCCGTGAGTAGTAGGCAATAAACTTAAGCCCTCCTGCACTGACATGACATCAAAATGACATTCTGTTTCTATTCCTCCTCATCAAAGATTACGTCGCGGTAGCCTAGGTAAACCATAGCCAAGAATGCAACAATACGAAGAATTGCTGTCTGAGTTTTGTAAGTATGGTAACGTGGTAAGGCGGATGTTTCGAGCCTTACGAAATATTTCTTATATTCCACCGTTCTTCTCGGCTCGTCTTGGGCCTGTTCCTGCTGCTTACTCGGCAAGGCCTTCGTGGCAGTTTTTTGCTTGGCCTGCACAAGCCGGATGTGGTCATTCTGTAGGAGTTCAAGGCGCACTTGAAGTAGTGACGCAACTCGCACCGACTCTTCCATCTGCCCTTTTATAGCGACAATGTGCTTGTTTACGGCTCCCATATGATCACTGACGATACCGAGATTTCTGTCCTGGATATAGGAGCGAATGTTCTCTAGCTGTTCGCAGTGGGCCTCTAGAGACTTCTGAGTGGCGGTGATAAAGTTTACGAGGACTTCAATGGTTTCTATTCCATCGCCATCAGAAAACCGGACATGACGGCTCTTGCGATGGTAGCGGTGCATTTGATCTTGGATATCCGCCAGCGTCGCCTAAACATCGCCAGCTCCTATTAGCAAGTAGAAATATTAATATAAAAGTTACTGGAACATGAGATCTTAAGCTGGTCGCTGTAAATGTAGACGTATGTATTAGGTAGGTACTTACACTGATTGAAGCGATACTATTAAGTTCTATATTGTTATTGATAGGCGAGGTAGAGGGATGCCCCGACATTCCCTAGTAACAAGATTAGCTAAACCCGACCCCCTTTAGAAGCAAGCGTATATTACAAGCCAACTTACAATTTTCTTTGTATTGGAAGACATGTTATTGACATGTTATTTTAGATGCAGCCAGTGGGTGGTACCTAGACTTGCAATAGTGGGCAGGAAGTTATTCTTGTTGATTAACTTTAGAAGTTTCTTTTCCGGTTTATTATGTTAAGTAAATTTTCGGTATTTATTTTTTTAACAAAAGATGGAAAAAAAAGATTCAATTGGACATACATCAGAGGTACTCTTCTAATACCCCCAGGCAGTGGCACCTGCAAGATGGTGTGTCACTTTGAGGCCTGTGCTTCTTGAGTTCGTGAGTTGTAAACCTGTGAGTTGCTCCGGATCTAGGGTAAGTTGACAGGTGGATACGTACCTAGTGGCCGTACTTTCACTTACCATTGTTAGCCTTTACGAGTTACATACCTAGGTAACTTCAAAGTCATGTAGCTACAACAACGGTAGCCCTCTTGAAACTTTGCATAATTGCTAGGACAAACCCCTGACATAGTTTCCGTAGGGATTATTACCACATCCGTCTCTTCTTTCGAGTTCACCCTACGTTCATGTCTATACTCAACTTGCTGACACTTGTAACTTGAAAGTTGTATGAAGTAAATAGAATATATTATTCAAGATTGTACAGGTAATATATCCGTATAATATTGGTATGTATGTAAATATTCAAATAATTCGCGAACTACTAAGACAAATCACTATATCTGTTGCCAGACCACTATCAGAGCGTAAGGCTAGGGCACATTACATAACCAAGAAAACATATGAGTAGTAATGTGGTAGCATCTTATTGGTAAAAGTCCTCAATTCTTGAAGAACTCTATCTAATTCTCCTCAGCCTTATCCTCGGGGTATACACCCAGTAACGGATTCCTATTTATGCCCATTAAAAGATTCTCCAGAACATGGCGTAAGGCGAAGTGAAAAGAATGAACAGGAGGATTATGGGAACCATAACGACCATGGCTATCACAAGTTGTTCCTAAGATTAATTAGTTATACCGTTGTAATAATCGTCATCGTTACTCACATTTCTAGCTGGGCACAGTATGATCTCCGGGCTCTCGTAACCCTTTCCTGGGTAAAGATTGAAGCAGGTCGAGTCGTCCACCACAATCTGACGGACATCTTCGCAATCTTCAATAATCTCCTTCAGTTTCATACCAATTTCCACAATGGTAGTGAAAGAGCCGTCCTTCAGTTGGTGATTTAGGTGGTGCATAACTTCCTCGAGGCTTTGGTCAAGACGCTCAATGGCACGGCGGTTTGCATACTGATGCGCAGCGTATTCCTCCTCCTATAGGTTCAAAGATCAATCAGCAACGAATCCGCCGAGTAAATCCAACATGAAATACCAAAGTGTGCTTAACGCTGATACGGGTGGGTTGTTACGTTACAAATGAATTTATAAATATAAAATATATAAATAGTGTGAATAAGTTGAATGCGGACTTACTGTAAGAAGTGGAGGGCCGGAGACCTGGGTATAGTGCCTATCACCAAGGCGGTAATAGCGACGAGGCTTCAGGACAGACATCTAATTGTATGATCTAGTTAATAAAATAGAAAAAGGGGTAAAGTTCAAAGAGGTGGGTATTGCTTACCTTGAGTCAGTCTGCTCAGGAGAGTAGCCCTTGGAAGGAAGATATCGACTGAAGGCTGAAATTATTAGAAGCTAAATCAGATAGGAGGAGATAAATTGAAGTGTGTATGATGAGAAGAAAACCCGTAGATAGGATCTATGGTATGATTCGTTGATGTGAAGGATTTTCTAGGTCTGCTCGTAAATAAGGGGATAAAGTTTGTGTGAAATTGATTACAGAATTGAGAAATTGCAGGTGTGATAAGTTAAGAAGGAATAGCATAATCGGAATTCTGACACCTAATGCTAACGCGCGGTTTGTTGATAGGAATGTGGGAAGACTTACCTACAATACGTAGTGTAGATATGGATGCGGAAGGGTTTTCTGATGTTTGAGATATGTAGAAGAACTTGCAGATGCTTGAAGGTAAATCCTTCGAATATGAAAGAGTGAGGGACTAATATGAACTCTGATTGGCCTAGGATTTTATAATCAAAGTACTAATTGGGGTACGGACCGAGGTACAAAGATCCTGAGTCATTAGCACTGGCAGCGCAGGTAGGATTGATCCAGTAAGGTCCGTGACTAGGTAGGGTGGGATAAAAGACGTGTAGTATGTATCCTTGCGTCCATTTTATTTCATAGACCGTACCTTGGGCAGCTGGCCAGTCGGATAATGACTTATATGCCTCTAAGAATGCTCTCACCTAGCAACCATCGTTCGAGGCTTGGTGTAAAGCCAGTAGTACTATCATTGAAGTATATTGGTTTTAAAATATGCAATAAACATTAAGAATCAAGAAGCAAATCACAACTCAGCTTTATTATCTAACTCATTCATAAGATCCGTTTTCCTTGATTAGTTTATAGTATTAAACTACCGGCTTGTTCAACCGTCCTTTTGCCAGCCGTTCAAGAATCCGTGTAGATCATTTTCATCCCATTTCTCTAGCGGAATAAAGAATAGTTCATATATCTATATTCATCTACCGTATACAAATCGGTAAGGTATGTGAATTCGGAATAGAACGGTGGAAATGGTATAGTCAGCCTTGCACTCTCTGAAACAATTAGATAATGCATTGTTCTTATTGTTCATTGTCTGATGCACCAGAACAACTGGCTACGAAACATACTCTTCATGTATAACCGGAGTCTTTTGTCCCGATCGTATAAATCCCTTCAACAACCCTTTTATGCAGACAGATTGAATATATAGCTGAGAGAACAATATTTTAAAAGTATCTAGTTTAGTATTACCTATTTATTGCTTATTGCCTACACATATAATAAGAGGACTAATTTAAATCAAATGCTAACAAAATAGTCAAAGTCTCAGATGGTAATAAGCGATTATTGGTACACTCATACAGAGAAATACTAAACGGCATTTACTAACAACAATCTAGGAAATAAAGCTAACTCAAATTTAACAGAATCTCGCTATGGGACCGGGTCGCGTCGTAAAAACACCTGAGAGATCAGGTAGCAGCATCGCAAAAGTGCGCAATAGATGTCTCATTTGGTTGTGCAAAACTGCTGGCTGTAGACGCGAGGCTGCTCGAGGTAGTTTATATTGTGGTCTACACAGAGCAAGAGGAAATCGAGGGCCAGTTTCACCACCACATCCCACGAGGAACGTATGTATCCCATATTTCTATATCTCTATTCTTAGTTCGTATCATTGAGCAGTTTAGAAGACATTTCCTTCCACCAGTCTAGACCCTCTCTTCCGCACATACAAAATATTCGCTAACTTTTATCAGTGTTCAACTTGTGGAGACCAACTGCCATCTCGCTATATCTTCAAAGATTGCGAGACGTGTGTAGGAAAACTGGTATTGGAGCAGGAGCTGGCAGCTCAAAAAGCCGCTGCATCCCATCAAGCGACTGATCAGAACCAATCGGAAATTGATATCCCAACCGAAGATACTACAAGGCAGGCCAGCCAACGGAACACTAATGGTGATACTTGGTCAGTTGAAAACGAGACAATTGACCTTACCCAAAGCCCGATACCTAAGCATCGTGAAAATATCAACACCTACAGCAACCCCAGTCACGGGTTCAAATATCAGGGTTACGGGAATATTCCCCCGAATCATATGCCTAACCCTATATTTCAATTTCCTACAAGTAATTGTAGAAATCAGCCAATGGACTATACATTTAGCCCTCTATATGGCTACCCCGGACACAGAAGCTACGCCAATCCTGTACCGAACTACAATTGGAGCCGCGGTAACGGTGTCGTCTCCATGCCCCAATATCGGCAGAACAGGAACATGGGTCCTAGTCCTGTATATGGATATCAAGGTAACAATATTATGGCCACTAGTCCTATGTATGGATACCAAGGCTACAACACTGTAGCTCCTAGTCCTACATACGGATATCCGGGTAACAACACTATAGTTACCAGCCCTGTATACGGATATCAAGGTTACAACACTATGGCCATTACCCCTTCATTCGGGTTCAACAGACTTAACATCCGGGGCACCCCCGCACCTCAATGTCAGCAGAGACAGAGCACAATGGCCCGTCCTGTTGTTGGATATAACGCCCGTAACCCTAGATACGCTTTCCCCACAAATGGATCTCGTGGGAACCCGAGTACGGTTGCCGGCCCTGTACCTAGTGTACCTCAGCATCAACGGCACAACAATAATCCTGCCCCCATGAACAATAACACTCCCACCGTGAAGATGTTGATATCGTTTATCTGCAATTAGATCGGATTCCTATCGACGAGATACGGTCAGGTGTGGTGGTAAGTAGCTCAGGTAGGTAAATAAAATGGGATTTGCTGTAATCTATACTGCTAAACGCAGACACATGTGACAGCCTATATTTCGTAAACATAGGGTGACAAGAACGTCGAGTATCTCGAGAATTGCTCTTGTTAACGACTTCAGGGTGAACCTTGTAGTAATGGGAATAATGTAGTTATCTCTTGCTGGATTCTAGACCTTAGATATCTAAAGTAAGCTATGAAGGTCAGCAACTACACATGATAACAACACCCCTTTTTTTCTAGATGTTCTATCAAGAAGTTTAACAGCATGTACGTGGAATATGACTATTAAGCGCAGTCCTTGCCAAAACGGCTGGTCGAAAGGAGAGGAAGTAAACCGTAATCTTCTGCATTCATTCAAACTAAGAACCAAAAGCTACCTACCTACCTAAGGTATAAGTACCCCTAACGGTAAAAGTGGGGCGTATACTTCCAAAGCCCGCTCTTATCCCAATTAATACCGCTTCCTCTCCTTACCACGAGTATTCTGCCTCCAAAGACATATAACACTCTTCGACTCGCACCACTTCTTCACATCAACAGGCGAAACCTCACCGTCGTACCCTGTCTCGTTTAACGCCCCGGCATTCAACCAAGCGGCGAGATCCTCTAAGATGATGGGGTCGTAGAGCAGCATTTTCTCGTGCCAGGACGGTTGTGACGGATCCTGCGAGCGCGGTGCTGATATAACAGCTTTGGTTATATGTCTGAATAGGCCGGCTTGCTGCTCTGTTGGTGACATTGTTAAAGAGAGATCAGCCTCGTCTGAGAGGGAGAGGTCCACTGCCGGTGGAGAGGAGAATATCCGGTCTCGTTCTGGAGACGATTCCCTCGAAGATGATAAGATGGATTCGTCCAAATCGGAATCTGCAATCTCGATAGATTTTACAGCGTCCTTTTTTGGACGCGCGCGAGACTTCTTTGTGGTAGTTGCTTTTGGTGCTGCGGCTTTTGATGTTGAAGCTTCAGCTACTGAATTCTTCCTTGGACGGCCTCGTCTTTTGGGGGGGTTTTCCGGTTGTGGAGCAGTAGTTGTCTGCTTCCTCTTGGGGACAGATAAGCTGGACGAAGTAGACATAGAATTGGCGTGGACGATAGAAACTCCAGGATTCTTGCTAACCCAACATTGATTTAGAAGAGCGATCATAGCTTGGCGTCTCTTCACTGGTTTAAACCCATAAGATGCGATCTGGCTGGCAAGCTGTGCGTCGTTGAGAAGCTCAAAATCCGGACGTGGGTTGCTGGTCTCGGCTGTAAGCTCTATAGACTCCTCGCTATCAGTCTGGGGTGGCTGTGCGCTAGAAACAGCAAAATGAGAATTTTGTGGTGGGGCAATTGTTGATTCCTCTATATCTGAGGACTTTAGGATGTCGTTGATGTCAACAAATCCCTCGTCCGAACACTGCTGTCGTCCTTGGGTCCGAGATAACGAAGGCAATCTTCTGACTAATTCAACATCATCGATCTTCATTAATTCACCATCCGTATCTCTTGAGCTAGCGTGCCAGAGTCCTTGACTATCAGAATCGGCGAAAGGATCTGAATCGACCTGGTTCGAGGCTCGTATTGCCAATTGCAGATCTCGAAGAGTCGTAGGAGATTCTTCTCTAACCAATTGGCTTGATGTTCCAAAAACGAAGTCTTGATTAGAGGACTGTTTCAATGCCGAGTTTGGAGACAATAGGATTGGATTATCCATTGTACCCGATTTCTTTTTGCGCTTAGATTTTGCTGGCGCCTTAGTCTCTTTGGCTTTGCCTTTCTTCTGCGTCATGACAATCGTCTGTTGATCAACAAGCGCCTTGACAGCACCATCCTCATCGAAATAGCTCAGTAGAGATTCCTTTGTAGCCGGGCCTGCAAGATCGAGTTCGGGATTCATTAGTGGCATATAAGGCGCAGTCGCCAATTCCGTGATCGTTCTAGTCTTCTTTTTCGTGTTGACCACCTTAGCTGGGGATGTCTCCCTCGGACGCTGCCCAATGTCAACGCCAATTGAAGCAGGTTCGATCGACTTCCGCTTCTCTAGGGTACCTGATTGCTGTAATCGCTCCAATGTGGTAGATGACGTAGTATCCTTGCATCCATATTGGTCTAAGAGTGTATCGAATACGTCCTTTGACCGTGATCCTCGGTCAACTGAGTGCAATTCCCGGC